AGTGATTTCTCTCACTCAGCAATGAGATCCTCCATTCTGGGCAGATATTCAGTGGAGTGATCTCCTGTACTCCTGATGAGCCCTGTCCACATAACCAGTTGTATATGAGGTGACCCCCCTGTCCTGCCTTAATAAGTCCCTTTCCTATCGCAAATCTTTTGTGGCTGATCTCCTATAGACTTCAATCTGTCCCATCCATATAATCAGTTATTTGTGGGGTAATCTCCAATTTGCTGATGGGCAGTGGGTAGTGGGCAGGAACCATCTTTTTATTCTGTCTGTGCACAGTGCCTAGCATGATGGGGCCTGATCACTGCCTGGGGCCTCCAGTCAGTGCCACAGTATAAAGCAATAGTGGTAATAGTAATGATCAATAGTCTGTGTACCTGCAAAACAAGGCAGTCTTAAAAAGTGGCCACCATTTTCCCATCAGTCTCTTTTGAAAGCTCTTTTTCATTCAAGTGAAAAATTCAGAAGGTGAATTTGGCAATAGGAATTGTGAGTATTCACCTGGGAGACCTGATTCCAAGAGATACCACTCAGAGTCAGAGACCACAGACACCAGGATTTCTTTGTACTGCAGTAGCTCTTGGCCCTATTGTACAGGGTATAGGACAGACACGGGCAAGTTAGCTTACTTTATCAAAGGAAATATCAGCTATTCCTGAGTGACACATCCAAATCACCAGACACTGACTGATTCCTTGAAAAGCTTCCAGAAGCAGTGGGTTTGGAAGGGGAAGATGATAGTGCCCTTCCCAGTTAATTCCAGGAGGGCATTCTGTGCGTATGGGGCACTGCAGGAGAAAGCCCACACCTTATAGGAAACCTTGTGCCGTGGCCTGGTCTAGTCCCACTCTCTGGAGGGACACCAGCCTGTTGTGATGGGATCTGATTGCTGAATCCTACATGCTTCCTAGTCCCTGGGTCCAGGTAGTGACATAATAGCCATAGAGCAGATGCTTCCTGCAGAGATGGAAGGGGTTTTTCTGTTGCTGTAGGTAATCCACCTCCCCGAGCAGCAGTAGCTAGGTTGATGAAAGAATTCTTCTGTCAACCTTGTTGCGTCTACATCGGAGGTTAGGTCGACTTAGCTATGGTGCTCAGAGGTGTGGATTTTTTACACCCCTGAGCACTGTAGCTATGTTGATCAAAATTTTAAGTGTAGACCAAGACTTAGATAAGTTCCTTGTAGAGCCCACCTGGTGGTGGGAGCTCTGGTTTCTAGTTAACCCCTTCAGGGCAATGTG